TTTAATTTTTACTTACAACTTCACTAATGTGAAAATATATTTAATAGGAATGTAAATGTAAAGTCTATATTAGATTGTGCGCCGTCTTGGGGAGGGTGGGGGGGAGGAAGGGGGAGAAAAATTTTCAACTCAAAAGCATATGGAAGTGATTGTTGATAAATCAAAATAAATTAATAAAATTTTTTAAAAATCTTGGTGAGTTAAAATTTGGCCTCAGACACTTACTAACTGTGTGACCCAGGACCAAGTCACTTCACCCTGTTTGCCTCAGTTTCCTCATCTATAAAATGAGCTGGAGAAGGAAATGGCAAACCACTCCAGTTTCTTTGCCAATAAAACCCCAAATGGGATCACAAAGAGTCAGACATGACTGATACAACTCAACAATAACAACAAAAATATAAACATATGTAATACACACATATGTTTCTGAGGATGAAGGTAAATAAAACCCATAACCAAGCTTTATATTTACCAGGTGGAGCTAAGGCTCTTCTACAAAGTATGGAAATGTGCATCAAACTTAACACAAGTATTCTAGTAATTACTAGATAAAAACATCACTAAGAATAATAATGTATTAATTACAATAATCCCCTTGCTATGTAGAAGAGAGCTGGAGTTAAAGACAGAAAGCCTGGATTTGGATCCCTGCTCTTCTAAGGTGACCTTGAGCGATTCAATTCACCTCTCCGAAACTCAGTTTTCTAATCTGTAAAATGAGAAGGTTGGACTGGGTGATTTCTAAAGTTCCTTCCAATTCTAATGCTATGATCAGATGAATCACTCAATGTCACTAATGACCTTCTATGTGCAATAAACTGGGTCAAGAACTGTCATTCTTGGGGCAGCTAGGTGGTGCAGTGGATAGAACACTGGCCCTAAAATCAGGAGGACCTGAGTTCAAATCTGGCCTCAGATCAAACACTTGACACTGACTAGCTGTGTGACCCTGGTCAAGTCACTTAACCCCAATTGACTTTAAAAAAAAAAAAGAACTGCCATTCTTTATTTACAGAAGAAGATGGAAGTCTAGACCCATACTATTTTTTTTAAATGGTTCTAAAGAAGTTAGCACAAATCATGGTGGCTAAATACAATCTAGAGCCATGAGAAGGAATGACAAATATTTACAGACATAAAGGGATGCTAAAAAGAACTGGGATCTTTCATTAATTAATGAAAATGAACAAGCAGCAATGGGTATGAGCTGTAGCAGGAAATTTATTTTTAGATTAAGCAGTAGGCCACTTCATTACAAGCACAATTAAGGCAGTCAACAAGCTGCCAAAAAGATTGAGGAATTTTCATTGCTGGAGAGACTTCAAACTAAATCAAGGCAAACCCTCTGCCAAGCTTAATGATAATTAAATCATTGCTGCAGAGGAATTACATACATCAGAGGAATCATAAAGGCTGACTAAATACTTCTCACATAGAATCTAATTCTAAAAATTTAATATTCCACAACTGATTATACCAGAATACTCTCCCACAAAAAGAAATGCATAGTATGATTATAAAGCATAAGACTGATTTCCTTAAGTAAACAATATATACCCATCTTTATTTTCTAGTCACACCTTTTAAACATTTGCAACTGACTGAGTTTAAGGGAAAAAAAAAACAAAGCTTTGCTCAATGTAGTCATATGTCTCTGTGGCCTCTCCACACCTATTTTCATTGAAGTACATTAAAAATCATTGCAAATATGGCTCATTTGGATACTTTGATTAGCCACTATTTTGCTTCAAGATGATGAATTCAACTGCAAATCTATAACATGGTATCAATTTCTGTCAGCTTAGTGACAAATTCTATCAAAATAAACCAACTCTTCCAAAAGCTGTCATGAAACAAACAGGCAGACATGAAACACCCAGCAGTCAAGTACAAACAGAGATTTCACTTTGTTGAAAAATTAAATCAACATTCTTTTCCACTTGCAAGGCAAGCACCTGTACTCTGAATTATTTGTCCTATATTTGGAATCAGAAGATTTGGGTTCAAATCTTAGCTTTGAAATGTATCAGCTCTATGACCTTGTTCAAAAATAATAATAGCAGCCTCTCTGAGACTGGGTTTTCTCATCTGGTAAAATGGGAATGATAATAATACTTACCTTTAGCATCTCTTGGGGTTATTGTGAGAAAAGTATTTCATAAACTGGAAAGTGCTATATACATGTGTGTAATTGTTTGGAATTATGTCCCAAAAGTCACTAACCTGTCTATACCCATTGACCTAGCTATACTGCTACTAGACCTATACACCAAAAAAGTCAAAGAAAATAGAAGAGGATCCATATATACAAAAATATTTATAGCAGCTCTTTTCATAGCAGAAAAAAAAATGGAAAATGGAAGGGGTGCCCACTTACTGGAGAATGGCTAAACAACATGAATGTAATGGAATATTACTGAACTATAAGAAATGATGAAATGAAGAGTTTCATAATAAACTAGGAAGATCTCTATTAACTGATGCAAAGTGAAGTAAGAACTAAGAGGATAATCTATAATAATCTAATAATACTATGACAACAACATTTTAAAGAAAAACAACTTTGAAAGACTTCAGAACTCTGATCACTAGAATGACAAATCATGATTCCAAAGGGCTGATACTAAGGCATGCTACCTCCACCTACTGTGAGAGGTGATGGACTTAAAATCTGGAATAAGGCACATTTTTGGACATGTTGTCTTTTGCTTTTCTGACCTACTCATATTTGTCATGAAGGTTTTCTTTACTATTATTATTATTATTATTGTCATTGTTATTCAATGGCAGATGGAATTGGAAGATGAAAAATGCTTGTTAATTTAAAAAATAAAATCAGTTTGTTTTTTAAAATGTATGACATTATTTAAGTTAAATTTGCATTGCCTATTGGTTAAAACTTATAATAAATATGTATTTTTTTCCTCTTTTTTGTGAGGCAGTTGGGGTTAAGTGACTTGCCCAGGGTCACATAGCTAGTAAGTGTCATGTGTTGTGTGTCTGAGACCGAATTTGAACTCAGGTCCTGCTGACTCCAAGGCCAGAGCACAATACACTGTGCTACCTCGCTGCCCCTGTATTTTTTTTAAAAAATAATAAATTTGGCCAGATGTGATGAAGCACACTTACAGTCTTTGCTCCTCAAGAAAGCTGAAACTGGTAGACTGATCGAATTAGGTAGTTTTGAGCTATAGTAGGGCTAAAGCCATTTGGGTGTCTGCAATATGTCAATCACCAATATGGTGAGCTACCTAAGAAGAAGTAAACTGGACCAGGTTGGAAACAGGTCAGATTAGAGCTTCTATGATGATCAGTATTGGACTCAGGACTGTGAGTAGAACTACCCTTCCAGTCTGGATGAGATAGGGAGACCTTGTTTCAAAAAAAAAAAACAGGCATAACCAGAAGAAAAGGAAAAAATAAAGTAGTCTCAGAAAGTGATTATGTGCATGCCCAGAGTTTCAGGAAATTGACATTAATTATGTATAACAATAAAAATTTAGCAGAAAGAAATAATCCACATTAATATAGCACTTTTAAGGTTTAAGACACACCTTCCTCACAACAGCCCTTTGAAGTATTGTAGTGAAAGTATTATCCCATTTCACAGATGAGGAAGATTAAGTAACTTAACCAGGGTCACATAACTAATGAAGATGAGAACCAGGATTTGTTGGATTATACTGGGATTTATTGATTCCCCCTCTTTTTCCACACTGATGTGAGTAGCATTTGTAGGATGGAAAGCAGATCTAATAATTTTTTAATTAAAGAAGAATATCTTTTTTAAATATCCTGACATATAAAACTAAGGAAATTTAGTCTCAAATAGATCTCACCCAAAATTAAGATTACACAAAACAATGTAGTTATTTAGTTACTGGTGGTCCAATTTATGAATCTGCCATTCCTCTCCTTTCTTGTACTCTTTATTGCTGATCCCTTTATCATTGGTAGTTTTAGTACTTTCAACATGATGTGGACAAGACAAGGAAAACGTCAATTTTTCTATTATGATGAAAACCACTCCCACTAATGAAGTGTCTGGGCATGAAGGTGACACTGGTTTCTCAAAAATTATGTCAGCGGAGTGTAAGCTTTCACAAGTTCTAACAACCTAGAAGGTATTTGAATATGGATCTGGTGAAGGACCTCACCTCCACTGTCAAGGACCCATCTAAATTTGGAAAGACTCATCATCATATTAGCATCAGAGGGATGACTGGCCATAGCAACTCTTAAGGAGCACCTACTCAGTAGTAAAGGGCCAGGGATCTATAGCAGTGGAAGAGTGACCAGCAGGTCAAACTCACATATCCTTGAGTATTAAAAAAAAAAAACCCTTTACATTTATTACGTTGTAAGTTCCTTGAGGACAGGGATTGTCTTTTGCCTTTTTTTATTCCCTAGTGCCTGGCATGGAGTAGGCACCAAATAAATGGTTATTGACTGCCTCACTCACTTATAATGCATTTCATAATTGCAAAGAGTTTCATATACAATATATCATTTGATCCTTCAAATAGGCTTGTGAAAAAAAGTTTATGATTATTTTCCCCATTTTATAGATGAAACTAAAACTCATAGAGGTTAATAGATTTGGCCAACATCGCGTTTTTATGCAACAGACAGACTAGACCTTTGACTTCAAATCCAGGACTTGCTTTACGAAACTATACACTATCTATTTCTGCAGTATAAGATCTACTTTTGGGAGGTAAAGCTAAAATTTTCACCTTATCCAAAATAAGGATTATGCCCATCTGTCTGTGTTTCATTTATCCAGGTTATTCGTCTCCACCTCTAGCAAATATAATTATGTCTCAATAGTAAATATGTAGAGAGATACACATAGCATACGGTGTTTTTTATTCTTAGTATTTCACCCCCCTGCCCCCATTGATGATGAGACGAGCTCCTTAAATGACATTATTCTCTAAAAATGTCTTTGAAAAACAAAAACAATGACTAAGAAAGTTATAGAAACTGGTACTTACACGTTCCTGACCAGCTGTATCCCAGATGAGGAACTTATGAAGCTCATTTCCACAAGGCACAGTTTTAGTCATGAAGGAAGCACTGTAATTAAGAATCAACACTAGGTTAGTCCTGTAAATCACTATGCTTCAAACAAGCTCACTCTACTCCTCAGCAAGACTCTGGTTTCTTGAGCAAATCCCTGAGAAGAAAAAAAGGACAGTTGGAGTCAAGTGTCACTCTGAAAAAATCTTGGGTCTTCCATACTAATGTAATGGTCTATTTTTTAAAAATCTAGCAAAGAATTTTTATACATTTTGGTAGATTGTGTTTCCAGCAGTCCTGTTGTTGTGTGCATAACATTTTTTCAGCTCTTGAAAAAGAATAAACCATGGATTTTTTAAAAAGAAAAAAAAATCCAACACCACAGCAAGTTTGGTTCACAAGTAGGTTGATATGTTGATACCATTACAGTTTTGTCATGGCAACAGTAGAAATGGCAAAATGGCCTAGCTAATGTGCTGTGTTGTGAGTAAACCCAAAGCTAATACCATCTGCAAAAATGCCGTTATCTCTGTTCCCCAGCCTTTGGATAATACTTCTGTACCCGGTGAATTATGAATATAACAAATATTATAACAAATATTCCTATTTGCTGCACAATAATAAACATGTAAGATCCTCAAGAAATGATGACACATGCCCACTGAGCATTTTCTTTCTTCCTCATTTTTTCCTGGGTTGTATCCATACATGGCCACCTGCTCTTTCTTGTTTCATATGAAAGACTTCCCTATCCTAAGGTCCTCCCTCTGATGTGTGACCCTGGATTCCTGAAGACAAGGCCAAGGGAACACAGTTCTCTGAACATTTATTGAAGATGCTGTTGAAGCTTAGCCAAGCTGAGGTCTTTGAATGTAGGCCCAGGAAGAGACTGTCTATTGTTCATGGGCTAGATAAGTTTGGGGGAGGTTCATAGCAAGGTGATGAATTTGGAGACAATTCTCTAAAGTATTGAAAGACTTCACAAGAAGTGTAGAATTCCCTCCACATCCTTTTTACAAGGTGTGTCTTCTCAATGTCCAACACATTATCTCCTTGCCTCTCTCCCAGTTCCCATTTTGTATCACACTCCTTAAATATTAGAATTTCAAGTATTCACCAGAGGCCCTACCCCTTTGGTCCAATGATCAATGCTTATCTCATGCCGGGAGCTGCCTAGGACCAAGAAGGCTGCTTAAAACTAGGGCAAAAATGAAAAGGCGTTTCCTCATCTTCTTTGAAGAGGTAAAGAGGCTAGGGATGTGGAATACTGAATATTATGTCAGACTTTTTCAATGTGTTGGTTAGTTTTCCTGATTTTTTTTCTTCTTTGTTACAAGGGATAACTCTTAGGTGGGGAAAAGGGAAGGATATACTGAGAAATGTAGGTGGTAAAAAAAGAAATCAATAACATTTATTTCAAAAATATTTCAAACAAAAAATAGGGTAGAAGAATGATAGCTTTAGTCCCAGGATCAATAGCAATACCTAAGTAGTTCTGTTCTATGAACCCACCTACCCAGCCGAGATTTTAAGATGCTGTTTCCAAGTCTCCTAATTCAGATCCCATTGCCTGTGTATTTCTTCATATATTGTTTGAATTGAAATCCTACTAATCTATGCCTGAATACCTTGATGTTGATTCATATGGGGCCTCTCCACTTCTAAATTCCAACTCTGACCTGTTTTCTTGGACTCTAAACCTCACTGGCATATACCAGTTTGGGCTTCTCCTTCATGACTCATAACTATTCTGTCCATCCAGCCCTGCTCAGCCCTTGCTCATGGCCCCAGATGGCATGCTCTGGCAATAAGATATCCTTTTTCACCTTCTATCTCCTTGCCTCACCACCTCCTTAAACTTCCCTACACTAATAGTGGCTTTCTCCTCCATTCCCCAATGAAAATAAAAAATAAATAAAATAAATTTTTTATGATTCATATAATTGTATATAGTATACAATAATATATAATTTATGTAATTCATTTTTATATAAAAATAAAATGAATAAATAGAAAGAAAAAAATCTACCTACATTATTCTGGTCTTGAATATACTTAATAATGGGGCAGCTAGGTGGTGAAGTGGACAGAGTACCAGGCCTGGAGTCAGGAGATACTCACCAGTTGTGTGACTTTGGGCAAGTCACTTAACCCTGTTTGCCTCAGTTTTCTCATCTGCAAAATGAGCTAAAGAAGGAAATGGCAAACCACTCTAGTGTCTTTGCCAAGAAAACCCCAAATGGAGTCACAAAGAGCCGGACATGACTGAAAATGACTGAATAAGAAACTTCCTAATAAGCACAGAATAGCTCATAGGTAATCAGAAACAACGATCAACACAGAAAATCATTGTTTCATTGTAACTGACAACTGAAGTGCAAGTGTACTCCCACTTTTCCAGCTAGTGAGTTTCACTGGGCACGATTACATGGTATAGTATACATTCTGATAACATACATCTCTTTTTAATTAGTGATTTGATGTACACACACACACACACACACACACACACACACACACACCCCTAAAAACTTTCCAAAAAAAAGAGAGTTGTGTTCTACAAAGGGAACTCTGGACAACTCAGACAGGCACTCAATAGGCAAGCATTTAAAATGTTTTGTAAACCTTAAAGTGCTATAGAAATGTGAGCTATTATTATTAAACTGATAGCTTCAGCTGCAATGCCCCCTGTTTAACTGTTTTTATAAATTTCCATCTGGTTTTTTTTTATCCAGGAAAATTTAATGGCCATCTAACTTGTTAAACACACACACACACACACACAAATACAAAATTTGCTGCTGGGAAAGTATATCACAGGGACTCCCATCTCCAACCTACCCTCCCACTGCTGCCAAAATTATCTTCTTAACATCTAACGAGGTCATTTCCCTGCTCAAAAACCATTGGTGACTCTGCTGCCTCTAAGAAAGGGCCTGACATTTAAGACCCTTCATCATCTGGTTCCCACCTACTGTTGCAATGTTATTCACATTACTCCCCTCTGTGTACTTCACATTCTGGCCAAACTGGACTATTAGCTGTTCATCAAATCAGACATGCTGTTTCCTGTCTCTGAACTTTCAGGCTGTCTGCCTTACTGTGGGTAATGTCCTCTTCTTCCTTGAGGGCTCATCACCTCATTCTCTGAGGCCTTCCCTGATCTTCCCAGCTGAAAGTCATCTTTCTCCCCTCACATTGTCCCAGAGCATTTTGTCTGGATTTCTCCTTTGCCCCCATCTCACCTTACTGGTATATCACCTTACCTGGGTCCATGTTCTATCCCCAGAAGAATGTAAATTCTTTGAAGGCAGGAAGTATGCCATTTTCACTCCTTGTATACTGAGGGCCTTGTATAGAGTAGGCACTTAGTACATTTTTACTAAATTTGAATGAATTTTACAAATGATGGTTAACACACAACCCCACAAGTAGCCTACTCAACAGCCATAGTTTTATCATTGGACTGAACTTAGATAATCTGGGGAATTTCACTATTTGATAGCAGTTAGCATAGTGCCTGGCACCTAGCAGATGTTTATTTATGAATTATCATGAATTATTTATTAATGTTTATTGAACTGAATTGGTGTTATCACCAATTCTCTGTATGTGGCTCACAATACTGAAAGAACAAACGAGTTTATTTACAAGTCAATGAAAACAAACATGGTTCCCCTTAAGATAAGTGCCTTCCCTCTGAGATTATCTCCAGTTTATCCTGATTATATCTTGTTTGTACATAGTAGGCTGCATGTTGGCTCCACCATTTGACTGTAAGGACAGGGACTGTTCTTGACTTTTTTTGTACCTTCCAGTGCTTGGTACAGTGCCTGGCACACAGTAAGCACTTAATATTTGTTGATTGATGGATGATGAAAATCTTATTAATAATGCTGCCTGCCTGTGGGGAATGCTTATCCAGAGGCCTATTTGGTGCTTCTAATGTGGCTCCTCAAAACCTGTCTTTTTCTGAGCCTTTTCAGAGCCTGAGCTGAATCCCCTTGTTGATTCTTGTCTACATTGGTCTTTATGTTTCCTCTGTTCATCAGCTCAGCACTGCTGTGCCTGCAGCTCCCTGGCAGGAGCTGGATCCTCCTCTTCTTCCTGTATGTGTTGTTTGGCCTTTGGTCAGAGGTGTACTGGTGAATATTTACCAAGTAGATGTACAAACAACATACTTTGAGGTTTAACTTGCATTATTAACATTTTCTCTATCTCTTTTTGAAGTCTAGAAAATACAAAAAAAATAAAAATGAGTTCCTGATTTGTAGCATTTGCTGACTTCTAAGGTATAAATGCTCACGCTGAAAATTTAACAAGCTGGTTTAGAGCTGACTCCAGCACACTCTTACGTTTAGTTCTCAGTCCCATGCAGATGTCTCTGGTTGCTGAACGCCATGGCTGCTTCCCTCTATCTTTCAGTATTATTCCTCCTGTAGATGCCAGTGGATGGATTGTGATGTCTTCTCCAGAAGGTCTACTATGGCAGAGTTCCAGTCAGAGGTCAATCCTATAGCTATTCAGAGACATTCTACAGTCACCCCTTTTCTGGACCTCTTAGCATCCCAGCTTTGGATGCCAAATGAAGTGCCCCACAGAGCTTCTACCTAGCGTTACAGTTCTGCCCATCTCTGGCCTTACACAGAAGCAAGCCCAGTGGTCACAAAGACAATTTGTCCCTGATACCTCTGACTGGATCTGTGATCAGCAACCTCATGTTTTGTCAGAGTTATATTCAGTCTGACATCCTTTACATTCCAGCACTAGAGTGATATCTTCCCTGCCCATGTTGTTTACTTCTCATGTGTTTAGAGGCTTGGCAAAATCAATGGTTTCTCCCCTTTACCGAATTATCCCTTCTACTCTGATCCTCCCTAAATCCCTCTGGTGTCAACCATGTCAGGGTGATTCCAACCCCACAGGGCTGTATCTTCCCTCAACTCTAATTTAGGAGATAGGGCTGTTTGGGATGTATCCAATCATTCATGAAGCCAAGTACTCCCCCAGTGGCATTTAGGGAAGAGAAAATATTAGAATCTTGCCTACACTAGAAA